TTGTCCAGCCAAACTAACAATGGTTTGGCAATAAAATACATTTCTGTATTGATCACCTTGCTGAATCAATCCATCAGACTCATCATCCAACTCTTTCTAGTCCTTCTTGTTTGTTATAGATTACTCAGTTGAACAGGAAAAAAAATGTAATATAATAAGAGCAGTCAGCAGATATCTTCTGCAAAAGATCAAATAACAAATGCCTTGTGTCTTTGAAGCCAAATGGTCCTGGCCACAAATCAACTGTATTATTGCAGACGAAAATGTCCATAGACAGAGCCTAGATAGATGTAGCTTTTTTATAACTGAATATTACTTACAAAATCAAGCAGAGGTTCAGATTTGGTACCTGAGGTACAGTTGGCTGATGACTAAAATGGAGCCTTTGTCTGATTATACGCCATGTTTACAGAGATTTCCACAAAGACTTCATGCATATACATATACAAGGACATCATGCAAATGCACACAAAGAGAAGAGCCATGATGCCAAGAGCCTAGTCTATCATTGCCAGCTGCCGCTCATTCACATGGTTATGCGGTGGTTTGTCCCTGTCATTTCCAGATTAACACAGTCATTTATCTGGAGAGAGTCTCCGAGTCTGTGCTTGAGAAGCCACTCCCACTCATTATATGTACCCTACTGTGGCTCTCTCTCATCCTTTCCCCGAAATGACATCAGTGTGACCTACACTGGTCAAAGTGTTCCGATTCCCAGGCAAAAACAGAATAGCTAATGGAGAGAAGAGAGGGACAGAGATCTGATTATGCATATGGAGAGAGATAAACCTGTCCTTCTGAACTGCCTAGCCACAAAGATGACCCAAACCAGGACTCTTTAAAGTCATCTTCCGAGGACACGTGAGTGAAGTCATCTACCACATCAGTAAATGAGACTGATGAAATGAGATCAAAGAAGGAACCAAAGGAACATCCAACTTTGTGATAACAGAGTCTGAAAGCCTGGGTCCAGATTCCAGTTATAAAAGAGCAAATAAGCTTCCCTCTAGAGATCTCCTTTGGCTGAGGAGGATTTCCAATGCCTGCAAGCAGAAGGATTTGGAAAAATAAAATTTCTCCATAAATATTACAAATACCAATGTAAGGAAATAATTTCAAACTGAAAGCATGCCGCAGTCATAGTAGCCCCAGCAATGGGCTTGTTTAAAATGGGAGGGATGAGTCATTAAAAATGCAGAATGCCGGGCTTATAGGAAAAACTTCAGTGTGTTTGGCATCTCAGTTTGTATATTAATACAGGATTGCTTTGTAGACACCAAAGACCCTATGTAACTGGATCTTTCCCTGGTGGAGTGTGATGGTGGAGCAGGGGGCTGGTGGCAGAGAATGAAAGCTGTCAGAATATTTTGGAAGTGCATTATTTTGTTTGTTTATTTGATTAGTGTGTGTGTGTGTGTGTGTGTGTGTGTGTGTGTGTGTACATGCACAGGCAGGTGTACAGGGATGGAGACACATAATCATGTAACATGATTTCTTGGGGACAAATGAGAAACAAAAGATTCTAGTTGAATAGTCACGTACTTGTGTGTCACAGAACAAGGAAGAAACTGTGCTTGCTAGTTTTGGGCCAACTCAACCCAGCATAGAGGGATCTAGGAAGAGGAAGTGCAGTTGAGAAAATGCCTCTATCAGGCTGACCTGCAGGCAAGTCTGTAGGACATTTTCTTGATGAATAATTGATAGGAACAGGCCCAGTCTACACTGACAGTGCCACTCCTGAGCAGGTGGTCCAGAGTTGCATAAGTAACAGACTGACTGAGCAAGCCGTATGAGCAGGTGGTCCAGAGTTGCATAAGTAACAGACTGACTGAGCAAGCCGTAATGAGCAGGCCCATAAGCAGTGCTCCTCTATTGCTTCTGCTTCAGTTCCTGCCTCCAAGTTTCTGCTCTGCTTGAGGTCTTGCCCTGACTTTCCTTAGTGATGGACTGTTCCCTGGAAGTATAAAATAATATAAACCCTTTGTTCTCTAAATAACTTTTGGCTATGGTCTCCTATACATACATAGCAATAGAAAGCCTTAGACACCACATACAATAGACATCAAAGGAACCTGGTTGACTTAATTGACATGTCTAAAATGAGATGTTTTCTTGTTTAGGGGAAGACTGTGAGTCATGAAAACAAAACAAGGGTCACAGGAGTAGCAGTGGCATGGGCTAGAAAGGTGTTGAGAGTCACAGTCATAGAAACACCCAAAGTGAAAAGTGTGCAAATATAGAAGTTGGCACTAAGCATTACCTAAAGACGCCTCTTCTCTGGCATTTTTGAAAGCCTTTGCCATGCTCTCAGATGGCAAGTGGGCACAGAAGAAGGAAGAAAACCCCAAATCTAAACAAGTTGGTCCATATTTGCCTTTTTTGAACTCAATATTTACTAAATTGCCATCTGCTTACTCAGTGTTTGCCAACTTAGTGTTTTCATTGAACATACAAAGTAAGTTCTGAGTTCAAGTGCTGAGGTTCGATGACTCTCTTAAATCTAGAGTTCTGTCATATCTAAAGAAGAAGAAGAACTAGTTCAACCCTCCAGTCCCAGCTCCACAGTCTGATGAATATCTGATTCCCAGTTCTTTCCTTAGCCCCTTGGTCCAAAAGCCAACCTGTGAGTTTTGTCTGTGAGCACTCCTGCAGAATCAGCTTGCTCCCTTCTTCATGCTGAGAGGGCAATGATGTGGATTGGAATGAGACCACAGACAAAGGAGAATCTGGCCACTCCAACTCAAAACTGGGTGTCTTTCTCATATATTACTTCTGGAGTTAGAATTCCAAATACTTTCCTTGCCATAACCCTCCACTGTGGTTAACCCCACCTCCCCCCGCATCGAGCATCACATGCCTGAGATTACAAACGAATTTTTGCTTTATCCCCCTGCCAGCCCTGAAGTACTTATAAACAAATCTAACAAAGGATTCTCAACAAACAACCTAGCCAAGTTCACAAGTGTGGAATCATTTCAGCACAAGCATACCAGAAAGAGATGCTTAAGGATACATCACAACCCAAACAGAAAGCTAATGTCCTTACAGATGAATGTGGTAAAGCAAAACCAATCTTATTGATAAGCTAATTTAAATAACCAGTTCTCTGCTAGTAAACTAGGAAATGTTTCTGTCCTGGAAGTATCATTGCAAAATTTCTTAAGAAAATGATCTTCGTGTTCCTAAGATGCTTTTTGCCATTTTTATGATGGGACTGTCTTTGTAGAAATAGTAATTGCTCACTGTTGTAGATATTATTGGAAAGGAAGGTAGTAGAAAACCGTTAACCAGGGAGTTGGCCCCAGATCTCGAATAGCCTCTGTGCATCTACGGTAAGTTTGCTACCGCTAGGAGCCGTGGTTTCGGAGTGAGAAGAAACCAGACCAGAACATCAGCTGCCTGTGAAATCTTGTTTAATATCATGGTGATTCTTTTCTCCAACCAAGACTTCCATCTGCCCTATAGGAGTCTCCCCCTTTACCACTGCCCGCCCACTGCTAGAAGCTTCACATTTCACCAAGATCTTTGCCCTAAGTTGTATTTTCTGTGCTCAAGCTCTAATACTGAGAATAACAGGGGAGCCTGTTGTAGATGGAAGGTTCTGTCCCTCCTGGTCCCGCAGCTTTTATTAGTAAGGTATCCTCATCTTGCTTCCTCTGCATCTGGGGTGGTAACTGAATCTCTGCCCTTCCTCTTTCCAGAATTCTCCTTGGCTGGTTGCCCCTTGTATCCTTCTTGCCTGGCTACTGAGCAACCAGGGCTTTAGTAAACTAAAACTCTTTACAGTGTACAAGAGCATTATCCCACAGCGGCCTGTGGTTATGTGGCAAGTTCACTGATGTCTTTAGTCTATATGCATCATAGGGTCAAAATTCTTGCCTTCAGCCGGGCAGTGGTGGTGCACACCTTTAATCCCAGCACTCGGGAGGCAGAGGCAGGCGGATCTCTGGGAGTTTGAAGCCAGCCTGGTCTACAAGAGGTAGTTCTGGCACAGGCACCAAAGCTACAGAGAAATACTGTCTTGATAAACCAGAAAAAAAAAATTCTTGCCTTCGTATCTTTCTTTCTTCTCTTGCCAGCATGTTCTTTCTAAAATACAAATTCTACTTTATCATTTATTGCAAATCTTTTAAGTGCTGCCCATGGATGTGGGGTGAAGTCTTAGGTAGTTTGGCCAAACTCTGTCTACATCTTTGGAATAATCTTTCCTGGTATAAGCTTTGAAATGGAATAGATCTTTAAGTCTAACATTTTTCTGCCATCTAGAATATTCCAAATTCAAGTCTCAATAGGAAATGTTTTTTTTCATAAAGCTATCTGTGCTATCTCTGCTGGGGGACCTTATGAACACCCCTATTTTACAATTGAGTGTTCCCCTCTCTAACCATTCAATGGTAGGTGCACAGACGAGTCAGAGATTCATGGTCCATTTTGTCTTCCAAAGGATGTTGATCTGTAGTGAAATTACCCAAAAGAAATATACCAAGGAAAAAAGAGGCAGAGCCATCTAATAGATATGTCCCATGTAAACTGAAAAGGTCATTCAGCATTTGGATTTCTATGAGGTGGTGGTTCCAAATGTCACTCCAAGGAACATGTGATTGTACCTGAGGTCCAGGTATTGCTGGTCAGAAGAGATTCTCATTATAATATATTGACTGTGCTCTGAAATGATTTGTGTTGTGTGTGTCTAGGAGCCTCAGGTTATTGGAATTGCTTGACAAAGACATGTTGGCTATTGACTGATCAAATCAAGCGGCTCTCACTGGGAAATGCTTTATTCCAAACATTTTTCGTGTTGGGTGACATTATATAAAACATCTGAAGGCACACACATCATTTCTCACATTGTTTGTAATAGCCAGAACCTGGGAACAGCCTAGATCCCCTTCAATGGAAGAATGGATGAAGGAAGTATGGAATATATACATATTAGAGTACTACTCAGCAGTAAAAAACAATGACTTCTTGAATTTTGCATGCAAATGGAAAGAAATAGAAAACACTATCCTGAGTGAAGTAAGCCAGACCCAAAAAGAGGAACATGGGATGTATTCACTCATATTTGGTTTCTAGCCATAAATAAAGGACATTGAGCCTATAATTCGTGATCCTAGAGAAGCTAAATAAGAAGGTGAACCCAAAGAAAAACATATAGGCATCCTCCTGAATATTAACCTTCATCAGGCGATGTAAGGAGACAGAAACAGAGACCCACATTGGAGCACCGGACTGAAATCTCAAGGTCCAAATCAGGAGCAGAAGGAGAGAGAGCACAAGCAAGGAACTCAGGACCGCGAGGAATGCACCCACACACTGAGACAATGGGGATGTTCTATTGGGAACTCACCAAGGCCAGCTGGCCTGGGTCTGAAAAAGCATGGGATAAAACAGGACTCCCTGAACATAGCAGACAATGAGGACTACTGAGAACTCAAGAACAATGGCACTGGGTTTTGATCCTACTGCACGTACTGGCTTTGTGGGAGCCTAGGCAGTTTGGATGCTCACCTTATTAGACCTGGATGGAGATGGGTGGTCCTTGGACTTCCCACAGGGCAGGGAACCCTGATTGCTCTTCGGGCTGACGAGCGGGCTGATGAGGGAGGGGAACTTTTTTGGGGGAGGGGAAGGGAAATGGGAGGAGGTGGCGGGGAGGAGGCAGAAATCTTTAATAAATAAATAAAATAAAAAAATAAAAAAAAACCAAGGACCTATTGGTGAGAGGCTCTCTCTTGTATGTCATAGATGCCAGCAACCTGGTTCTGATATACTAGCTTCATCTAGCTACAGCCATCCCTTTGGGGGTTTCTCTCACTACCTAACAAGCATCTATCACCAGCTGTCCTCATTAGAATAGGTCCAGGATTCACATCAGGTCTTTCCTTAGATCTTCTGCTGGAGCCACTGAGAAATGCCTGGTCATTTATACCTGAGGTCATGTGTAGAAAGCCTGCCTAGGACTAATGAAATCAAAAGGAGGATAGAAGGAGAAAGATACTGGTGGTTTACACCAATCCCCCAGCCTCAAGCCTTACCTGAAACGAACAACATTTTTGTTTCCTTAAAGCAGCCTGAGTACAAAAGGCATCATAAGCAGGCCTAAGGAGACACTACATAATAAATATTCACTTTGAACTACATTCATTGTCATTCTTTATACTCTGTTGGGACATGAAACGGCTTGCTGTAAGAACTTTAATAGTTGATGTATCAATGAGTCATTAAAATACGGAGTATATACAACTGTGGCTTCCATCATTTCTTCACACAGTGAGATTCACAGAACTGTGCTCACTCACACAACTAGTCATTTTCGGAGTTAGAATCCCTTCGTGCGCTTCACCATGATGCCAAGTTTCCTTGTAGAGACTCTTCCAAAGACTGGGCTCTTTCCAGAAGTTCACAGCTAGAACTCAGGAGGAAGAATTTTCCATCTTCTCACTAGCAGATTTCGCCAAGCTTTCCTGTGATGTCTGTAGGAATGTAAGAGAATGGACGTGTTTGCTGTAGCCTCTCATAGGGAAAGACTGGAATCCCCACTTTATCTTTTGTTAGCCGCATTCCCCGAAAGTACATCACAGTTTCTTTTAGAAACTGTTGTAAGATTACTGTGCATCTCAAAGAGCGGCTGAGGGTCAGGTGTGATAAGACACATGAAGCATAGACTGGAACATGAACAGCAAGTATCAGCCACTGCTGCTGCCAATGCCAACACTGTTTTTTTTTTGTTGTTGTTGTTGTTGTTTTGTTTGTTTGTTTGTTTTTGGCGTCAGTTCAGATCACTGTTCCAGAGGAGTCCATTCATCTTGCTCATTCCTCTTAGGGACTGTCAGCAATCACTCAGGATAAGCGTAACATCAGTCCTACTTGAATCCCTGATCCATTTCTCTCATCTCAACCTGCAGTCACTGTGTGCTGGAAAGCAGAGGCCTGGCTACCACACTCCCCATTGCCAGTGAATAAATCCTCAGAGATGCTAATCCACCTCCAGGAAGCCAAGGTGAATTCTCAGCTCATGACCAATTTCTTTTCTGTTTGTTGGCTGTTGCTGTAACTGACCACAGCAAGCTTGCTAATTTCTGGAGAAAATAAATTTATTTTGTCCATGGTTCTGCTTGTCAGCTATTAGGGGTGTTCCTTCTGGGCTATGGCTTGTGAATTAGAGCAAGAGAGACTTTAAAACCAAGTCACTCCTGAGAAAAGTCATTAATCTAGCACAACATTCATTTATTGTGTGAGGTAATTAGCTCATGAGAGTAGAATATTCATCTCCCAAAGGTCCTGACTGATTCCACCTCCTCATGTAAGGGGGATCAAATGTCAACATGAGTCTAAGTGGGAATGTTCAAACAAATGATTTGGATGAACAAATGGATAGAGACAGTATCATTTCTAAGCATCCTTTGGGCTATGCCCCATTTTCAATAGATTCTATGTCAATGTTCCTTATATCTTCCTTATGGAAGAACTGAGCTCATTTCGTGTTACTTGTAGGATGCCATTTGGCTAGAAAATGAGGTTTAATCACAGTACTTATTTGAATCAAAAAAAAAAAAAAAACCCTTTTCTACCATGGTAGCACTTTCTGCGGTATCAATCAAGACACAGGCCCATTTGCACCCACAGAATGTGAACGTGTGTTCCTAGAAGCACTGGGAAAAGAGCCCAAAAAAGCAAACTATTGGGTAATTTCATTGAAAATCTTCTATCTTACTTAAAAGTCCATGACACTTTCACTTTGTAGGATTCCAAAATATAATTACATTTTATGTCTGTGTATCATGTGGCTCTGCGGTTGTGATTTTTTTCTCTCCTCTAGATATTTTGATAAAAACCTAGTAAGAAGAGCCATATTTACACTGTGGCTTTGGTCTCTCTCCATCATAAACTCAAGGCACATTCCAGGTCAGGAAGCATTCGCTGCAGCTGACATTTTCATCGTGGGTCACACAACAGAGGCATTTCCCAGGAATGAACAGCTCCAGTATGGTAGTGCATTTAAGAACCCTGGGTCTCCAAGACAGAAGAAGAAAGTAAATATCGGAGAAAGAGAGGGAGAGAGAGAGAGAGAAAGAGAGAGAGAGAGAGAGAGAGAGAGAGAGAGAGAGAGAGAGAGAGAGAGAGAGAGGTGGTTTCATATACAGGTGGAAAGAACTGGTATGAAATGCAGACTGTAGAATATTTCTGTTTCATTGATTTTTATTTGTTTGTTCTTAGTGGGGGTCAGAGGACGGGTCTTGTAGGGATCTCTTCCTCTGAATGCCTGAGAGATATTACCATGCAGAGGGGGGATCTGCTTTCCCAGATTGGGTAGGCGTACAAGAGGAGGTTAAGAGGAGATCCAAGTTCAGGCAGCTCTACCTCTTTTGTTCACCTTGCTCCTCAGAGCTAACTCCACGGACGCATGCATGTTCCACCTTATTTTAAACCATTATACTGACATCAACTATAATCCCTGGGTCTTCTGTGACACAGATGCTTCTAATTCTTCGGTTCCATTTGTGAAACCATCAGGCATATATCATGTTCTCCAAATTGGCATTCCTGGAAATTAAGATGGCATTGGTCTTCCATACTTCACAGTTCCAATTTCAGTTGAATTGCTTCTCAGGTGAAAAGAAGGCTCATGGTTGGATTTCTCTCAAATCCTACCTCTTACACCCAAAGCAGAGCCTTAGTAGGGAGAGAGATCTGTGGGTCAAAGCAATGCCTTGGAACAAGTAGAGGATCTTGAGATTCATGACTTTTGGTAATTTTCAACATGCCGAATTTGAACAAATCTCGGACTTTGCAGCGGCCCATGAGGTCAGAGGAAACCTGAGTTGCTAATTGACCTTTGAGCCCTGGTTAGGAGAGTTAGATTGATTTGTATGTCACCTGGAATTCGTGGGTTGGAAAGTCACTGCAATTGCTAGTGTCTGTGTCTGTGGACAAATGGCTGCTGCATCCCAGGCCTAAAGGAAATGATTTGTAGACTTTACCTTGTTTGTATAAAGTCAGAAGAGGCACAGACTTCCAGCGCCTGGGCTAGGAAGATGCCTTTTGCAAACACGAGGCCTTTAGGCTTATTTAAAGATACACAAGTCTTCTCCTAAGTTCTTTCCAAGATGACACTCCTTAGGCAGGGAACTATTATCAGGCAAAGGATACTTTTACATATGCTTAATCTATTCATTGGTAAGCAGAAAAATGCATACCACCTTCAGAAGGGAAGGGTCACCAGCTTCATAATCTATGAAGCATTATCATGGTTCAAGTTCATATTTATAGGGCTGGACGTAAGAAGTTGGTGTTTTATCATGTTTCCCAAATCCCATTCTGCTTTTTGAGCCAGAGAAAGAGTTATTACATTGCCAACCTTAGATTTACAGTTCTTCTGCACATACCCAGGAGTTGGGAAAAAATCCAACCAACGGAAAGATTTAAGGAGAGAAACGGTCATCTTGGTCAAGAACACCTGCGCTGGAGAAGACCGGAGTCCTTCCTGGCACGTAAGCCCAGCTGTCGTCATTTCCTCTGGGTATTTGAAGACAACATGGAAAGGGAAAACTTTCAAGGAGCACAGCTTACTTCTGCTCAAGAAGCGCATGAAAAGATGTATGTGGGCTCTTAGGAAGCAAAGGCTCCACTGGGCACAGAGACTCAAACATGAAGAACAGTTTGCATTGGAAAAATCAAGAAACACCAACAAATTACAAAGACAAATGAACCAGCAGAACCAGTGCCTGGTCCCTCAAATAACCCCTTCCATTCCCAATATGCTTGCCAAATAAAGGGGACACTGAAAATGATTGAGAGCCGTGGCACCTTCTTGTGGATACTGGGTAAGAGGGAAGACAACTGCTGTCTAGAAGAGAACCAGGTTTCTGACCACATTCAAGGTCAGCCACTCCTTAGAATATTGTTCATAAAAGGACAACGTTATAAGTTAAAGATGGTGCCACTTACATAGTATAAGCTTTAAAGCCGTTCTCCCTGTGGGAAGCATGATTGTCATGGAACCAAGAAGAGAGGCTAAGGGCTCTTTGTTCAGCCACCATCCTGTCCACTCCACCTTAACCCTCCTTGTTGATACCAACACTTGATATCTGACTTTATCACTAAGTTACTGTCCCCTGTTAACTTATTCTC